GATGTTATACTTTACGGGTTTCTGGTGTTCAATGTTTAAGTACATTTTGTTTTGTGCCATTAGAAAATAAGTGTTAATTTAAAAATTGAAAGAGTAGACGTGCTGGTTTATGAAAGAGTTTCTTAATCAGACACTGGCATGTGTACGTGTGCAAGGCGTGCTAGGGTCTCTCCACACCCACTCAGCACCCAGCTAAAGCCGCTATGAATATATGGAAACTCCAACAATGTATGTAGCAAATACATTCGACACAAAATTTCCTTCAGTACTTCTATTTAAGGAACCGAGCCAAGTGCTGTACAAAAACAAGGCTGCTCTGCCCTCTAGGGGCCGTTCTAGGCATGCACATGTGTGCAGCCGCAGCAGGTTGCGGAAGGAACCTTAGAAACTACAGCTCTACTGCTTCGAAAACAACAGCGACAACAACAAACAGAAAAAGATGCATGCAAAATGATCAGGGGCTCCTGACCACTGCGGAATACGGAAGCCTCCACCTGAAGCCAGCCTCGCCCCGAAACCTGACTCCTCTCTTCACTACACACTTCCCTCCATTCCAAGCAGTACTTCGCTACTTCATGGTGATTCTGCAACGGAGTGGACACAGTCACGAGACCCAACTCCCTCAGAGTGAATCGCGCAGGGGACAATGCGAAGGAGGGGACAGAGATGGGCTCTGTGCTCCACGCAGTCTGCTCTCGCTTTACCCCGCGCTGTGGGCTCTGCTACAATGGTGAGGTCGGCCACTGCTCACACGCACACAGGCTGGGCTGAGGGGATTTACTGAAGAGAGAGGACCCGCTCTGAGTGCGAGTGGGACCGGCGGACAGGCCTGCAGCCTAAATGGAATCCGACGGGGTCCAGTGAAGGAAGGCTGGCCCCTGCTCCTCAGGGGAGCTCGTTTTGCCTTTGCCTTAGGAGTCTGTCTCCTGGCTCCCAGGACAGACTCCTCCTCTGGCCTTACTTTGCAGACCCTTCGGCCTCCTGTGACAGGACCCCAGAGTGAGCAGCAGGCCTCTGACCTCTGACTGCACCCTTCAGACCCCCGACTCGGCACCTCCCACACTGCCTCTGCAGATGGCCATAGGGAGCCAACCTTGTGAATCCTTCTGCATTTATGTATCTTACAGTACACGTGTTTCTCCACAAATGCTGGCTGATGCAGTGACACTCTAAGGTGCATTCCTGTTCTCTCTGTCACACAGGCAGCAATGAATAGATGGACAGTAGAAGCGCCACCAGGGGTCCTGAGACAGGAGAAATGGGTGTTCCCAGTGGAGCCTGCCTTCTAGTAAGCCCTTGCTCACTGGGTATGGCTTGCCCAGTGACAGCTAAATTTAAGTGCCAACTCCACTGGCCCTCTGGGAGTGACCCTGGGTCTGTATCTGGCTCCTGGCCCCTCTGTTTTGGCACTGTCTCCCTGTTTTCCCATGCCCTCCCACCTTGGAGCCAGGAGCTGCTGACTGGAGCCTCTGAACTCAAGAGCTGAACTAAGCCTTCTCCAGCTGTGAGTGCCAGGCACTGGGCTCGGGGGAGGAGAGCTGGTGCACCTTCACACTAGGAGGGACTTGCTCTCCTACCGGAGGCCCAAAGTCCGGAACTGTTGCCGCGCTCATGCTGTCACCGTGGAGGGCAGCAGTCACTGTTGCCGGCTCACTCACCCCTAGCTCCAGGATCTCACAAGACGCTGCCCACTCCCAGAGAAATGTGGCCCCCAGTGCACGGCAGGTGCTTTCTGGCTGGGGATCTGGACCAACTGTGCGCGAGGATTTCCAGTAGTACTACTAGGAGCAAAAGCAAGGATGAGCTCTGGTCCAGGTGACAGCCAAGCATGCGTCCAGGACCTGTGGTCACTCCGCTCTGTGCTGCGTGTTCTACAACAGTGCAGGGGTTGGTGACGAAGCCCCTCTGTGGGTGCGGCACCGCCTCCTCTGCCGCCAGAGAGAAGCAGCCTGCCTGGGGGAGGTGGCCCTCTTGAGGCTCCCAGGAAGGGACCCGAGCACCCTGCCTGACACGTGATGCACAAGCCCAGGGATGTCTGTGTAAAACCATGGCTCTGCCTGTGCAAGACTCTTTGAGAAGACAGTGTCCAGCCAGCTGCCTTGCCTCCGGATGCCTGGCTTGCGATGTTTTCACTTGACTCTGATGGGACTCCACACAAAGCACCTGGAAATTTTAGATTTAATCCTTTCCCAGAGTGGCAAAGTCTAGTCTGATCCCCTCTGGCAGGGTTCGTGGCAGTGGTGGCCCCCCATTATTCTAAGGGGAGTATAATGGGTAACATGGGCCTACACTGCTGCACCAGCCTGTGCGGGAGGTCAGGCTGTGAGCTGACACTTTCAACTCCCAAGGACACACAGAGATGCCACCTTTGCAGCCCAGGAGTATCTGAAGGTCCTGGGCTCTCCCACTGAGCCGCACCTAGCCCCAAGCGTCACCTACGGAGGACCCAGTGGGCAATGTTTGAAGTTGGCCTCAATCTGACCCTGAGCAGTCTAAATTTATCTTCAGCACTTACAAAGAGTGAGTGCTAGGTAGCAGGAAGTCCCGAAAGCCAGTGCTGCTGGTGAGGGCCAGGAGGTGCCAAGGCCACTGGCCAGGCCTCTGGGACAGGCAGCATCACTGCCTACCACTGCGGCTCCTGAGTCGCCCGCGGAAAGAAGTCCACCAGCTCAACGTGAGCGCCTTCTGCGCTGACCTACAGGATGTCTGGGCCTTCGTGGGAATTCAACATTAAACATTTTATGCAATTCAATCACTTCTTTGGAGTTGCTTTTTGTTTTTACCTTCAAAGATTGTTTTTTGAAGTTATTTTTTTAAAAAAGCAGTGACTATATATTTGCAAGCATTTCCACGGTTTGTCCAAGTTTAACTGCTAGTTCTAAACCTTGTACTTTGGTCATTTCAATTAGGCACAAAGCTAAAACAACAAAACACAAGTTTATCTGAAAATTATACCTTTTTAAAAAAATACTTCTTCCGATGTTTGTCATCATAAGTATAACGTCATAACAGACACCTTTGTGCCCGAGGAGAGTCATTCTTCCTAGAGATGCCCTTAGGAGAGGCCTCACCTAAGAATCACTGGATCAAGGACGCGCTGCTCGTCCTCTCCTGCTGTGACAGAGCCCCTCACCGCGCGGCTGCCGGCTCTCCAGGAACTTGCGCTGGCACTTCACCCGCCCTGCCACACCGACGAGATGCTGCTGCCCATAGCTACAGCGCTCGCACGTTAAAATTCATAACACGAAGAGCAACTATTTTCACTTTCCAAATGTTGTATACGACGGAAGAAGAAAGCTCATTATCAGCTTTGCAGCTCATTAGCAACTTGCGCGCATGCAGCCGCCCGTGGGTGCCAGCAGCCCGCTCTCCTCTCCTCTCACCCGCTTCCTTCCTTCTGGGCACAGCATGGGGGCAGGGCGCCGCCAGGGCTGCTCCACGCCTGCGCTGCACAGTCCTCCGATTTCCAAGCATGGCGGAGCCTGTAAGGACGCTGCTCAGACCTGAGCTGCTACAAAGTGCCTCAGAGCTTAGCTCTCTGGTGGTCACGGTCACCACATCCCCTTGCCTGGCAAATGGTGTCCAGCAGGGGCCTCTCTCCTACCGCCTCCCTTTCTAGTTTGTTTTTATTTTTTATCTTTTGCGGTCCTGGCGATTGAGCCCAGAGCCTCAAGCATGTGAGGCGAGCACCCTATCACTGAGCATCCTGTCACCGTCACAGTGCTCAGCTCCTCTGCAGGCTAAGCAATGATCCTGGCTCCTCCCCCACGGCAGTGGTGACGCGTAAGATGCTAGGTCCTTTGCCTTCTAGAAATGAAACTACATGCTTCCTCATCTATCGTTAGGCTGCGGGGCCTAACAGTGGCCTCTAACTGTGTACAATAATCAGCACCATAATCCACTGGGGAGTAGCAGTATTTTTACCTTAGAAACCAGTCATACTCAATCTGACTCAGTCTGTATCAGTAACCAATGACAACCGCATGTGTGCTCTTAGGATGCTCCAGGACCTCAGCGTCTGTCTCCGTGGCTCACAGGGCTGAGACCACGAATGGTTTCTCTCTGTGTTTCTTTTTCCAGGACAATGACTGAGTGGTATGCTCAGCTCTAGCGCTGCCTCCCAGCTTTGCGGCATGTTGCTCTGCCTGATGGGCACAGCCCAGGGACACTGGTGCCCACACCAGGTGTCAGCCCATGGGGAAGACACGCTGAGGTCCCTTGAGGAGAAGCGGGGCAGGCATGGCTCAGCGTGGTGCTGCCTCTGGGGAGGCTCCTGCTCAGGTGGCCACGAGAAGTCGGGCCTGGAGCACCCGGCATGCAAACCTCCTGGAGGCCACGCCTTAGAAAACAGCCTCCCAATATGAAAGCACTGATACTGCTTCCATTATGATTTTTTTCTGTAAAACATAAAATTTACCGTGACAAACTGTAGCAAGAGCAATTCCATGACTATGCACATGAATGCATGCATGTGCCTTTTTTTAGTTGACTTTCGTGGGTTTTTAAATAATTTTGAAAATATTATCTGAAGCCTACTTGAGCCCACCATGGAAGCCGTGAAAATCTATGAAGAAGGCTTTCTCTTGGGTCAATTCATTGATTTACTAAAGGGCAATGAATGATTCAGAGAAAAACTGACTAATGAATATTTTAAACTGGAAATACTAAAACTATAAAAATGGGCTCTTAAAACTTGGAAAAGTTGTACAATGGCAACAAAGAGGTTCTTTCTAGTTTTTTTGGAAAAAAATTTTATAAAGTAGTTTTCCCCTGTATTACATGATCTGGGTCACTACTCCAGACACACTCTTGAGCTTGAATTAAAAAAGTGCAGGTAACAACGCCTGAGTGTCCCCAGCAACAGAAGAACCCCTGGGTGCATCAGGGCCCACAGGAGCGCATGTGCACGCGGCTCAGGCTGTGAACCCCTCTCGGGACTGGGGCCAGCCGCGTTGGCCCTGCAGCTCCACGCCCAGCGCTGCCCCGCGGGCGCCGCTCACCGCATGGTGTAGAGCAGGGTGCCGTCGTCCTCCAGCCGCAGCAGCTTGTTGGGGGTGGTCATGTTGTGCGCGATGGACTTCTTCCCGTTGTGGAAGAAGGTGTCCGGGGTCCAGATCTTGCTGGCGAGCAGGTTGTTGAGGGGGAGGCGCTGCATGGGCCCCTTGAACCGCAGCCTCTCGTCCTTCCAGCTCTGTCGGAAGAACACGTCGATGGTGTATTCCTAGTGCAGAGGGAGGCAACACCTGAGTCGGAGGGTCCTGCGGCCATTCGGAGTGCCTTTCAGTGGGATCCCCAAGAGCCCCCGCACCTACCATCTCTGTGTCTGACACCGGGCCGAAGCTGGTGACGTAGATGTCGGTGCGCACCTGAGTGATCCGCTCTGAAACACAGAACGGGTTGCCCTGAGCAAGTCACGCACGCACCTGTGCCATGTGGCACCTGTGTGCCCAGCTGCCAGCCGGCCAGGGCATAGGGATGGCCTGATGAAGCTGGAGGACGTGACCCCAGCCTGTGTGCCCAGCTGCCAGCCGGCCGGGGCATGGGGATGGCCTGATGAAGCTGGAGGACGTGACCCCACCCCCAGTGGAGCCACCTACACAATTCAGGGTCAGCCAAGGAAAGAGGGCAGGCTATCCTGCACTGTGGACACAGGCTGAGCCCATCCTGGCCAGGGGAGAGCTCCGAGCTTCTGTCCCTTCTCTAAACCCAAGGCACTATGCCTGCCTACCATGCTTGCCCTTGCCCTCCTACAAGCAGCAGCCTGGGCGAGCTGGGCAACCAGGAGTGGAGAGGCTGACGCAGAGCCACATGGTTTGCCACGCGGCCCGGCGGCTGGTGTCTGCCCAGCAGGCTGAGGGCACTGGGTCCAATTCCCAACACTGCCAGAAACCTAGTGACACTGTATGTCCTCATGAATTGGAGCCTTGAAACCCTGTCCTCAGCATGCTCTATGAGCCATGGAAAGCAAGACCAGCTCCTCCTTCATGACATTTTAAATTGTTCGAAATGCTTACTATGGGAGGCCGGTACTTAAATTGAAATTAGCAGAAATATATAAAAGACAAAAGTAAGCAGTGACACCGTGGGTGAGCGAAATTTGTGTTCCTGGGCATCGCTGTGGTGGTGGAAGTCTGTTCCCACTTAGAGACCATATTCAAAATCACACAGCCTCAAGTGAGTGGCCCCAGGCCACAGCTGGGGACACCACTGCACCAGCACTCACTCAGCTTTTGCCCCAGGCCTCCCAAGAGGCCGGCCCTACTTGTGCGGGCCTATCTGTGCATCCACGGCAGTGTGTTCACCCCTCCCAGGGACAGGGTGCTCCCTGGGATGCGCGTGTCCGCTAGGCTATCTGCTGCACCTCTGCACCACCCAAACGCGGCTCCAAGGCAGACTCCTGCAGGAGCAGAGGCCACAGGCCGGAGGGCCACTCGGCAGCCCTCCCCTTCCCCGACCCCCTGTGGGGACATCTTCAACGCTCAGGAGTATTAGGAGTGCCCTGAGGATCCCGGGGAACTTCTCCGCTGAACAGAGAATGCAACTTGTGATTTAAAAAAGTCTGACACTGACGAAGGATCTACAATCTGAGGTACAGGATCTCAGGATAAATCCTGAGGGGATTTCACTGACCTTCTCAGACCCAAAAGCTACAACTCTTGTTGCATAGGTCTGGCTTTACCTTGGTCTTAACCATCCAGCAGAAAAGTATAAAAATGAAGTATAAGAAGTAAAGCCATGCTGTTATGTTGAGCTGTGGGGGACTCAGGTCAACAATTTCTGACACTGCCAATCAAGCGGAAGACCCAATACTATTATGGACTACTGGACTCTTTTAGAATATTTTGCTGAGTTAACACACCTATAATATTCAAATGATGGAACTAAACAAAAAAGGGGATACAGATGAATGTCCATTTTATTTCGGTGTATTCAAAGTGGTTAGGATAGATATATAGTTACATTCTCTTAATGAATAGAGGGATTTTTTCTAATAGTGTTTGCAAATAGGATATCATGTCTGCATCTTTTACAGCAAATGACCACTAGGAAGAATGTATGCAATGTGTTAATTATTGAAACTGTCCTACCAATTTGGTTTAAAACTGTCTCATTGCTACTTGTTTCTCAATAAAATTATGGAAAAAAATAAACATAATGCTGGGGCTTCCTCAGGTACTCAAAAAAATAAATAAAATTAAAAAGTCTCTTCATTAAAAATGCAAATACAAGAAAAGAAATAAGCCCGTACTAGTGAAGGCAGGTCAAAGGCACTGCATCTAAGCTGTGCCTGGAAGCCGTACGTGTCTCTCAGCATGAAGTTAAGCCACACCTGCCTGTGCGCTCTGCAAGCACCGCCTCCACCAGTTTATTGAACTTGTGCTTGTGTGGCGGCCTCCCTTACCTGCACCCTCCCCTTCGCCCCTTTCAGTTACTCGCTGTGAGCACAGACCTGAAAATCTCACATGGAAAATCCTAGGAATAAATAGCTCACACGTGTGCCGTAGTACAGTAAGGCTGCAACTCATGGGCACCCGAGCCGCGATAGTTCACACAGGAGCAGACCTCGCACTCGGGACATCCACAGATGCCAATGAATCCTGGAGGCTGCTGTCTACTGCACTCATCGCAGCTGTGCTGCTGTGTGATCAGAAGTCACAATTGTTCCTACACAGTGTGCGCGTGTGTGTATGGATTTTCTGTGCTCTGCATAACTGTGGCAAAGTTTTGTGAGCGAATGAATCCGATTTGGGCACGTTCGCCTGGACTGGCGATTCAGTGCAGTGCTACGACTTTCCATTTCCCTGCTCATTACTGTTCATCTCTTTCTGAGCCCAATTTATAAATTAGAGTTCATCGTAATTGTGCATGTACAAGACAAAACAGCAAAGGCAGAGTTTGGCCCCAAGCAGGCTTCACTCACAGCCCTGCAGACAAAGGCTGACGGCTGTTAAGGGTGCAGCTACGGCCATAGTGAAAAGTTAAACATAACTGATACGAATGCAAAGGGTAATTGCATCAAACAACAGACTTCTGAAACCTGATCTGGAGCTATCGAGATAGCTCACTGGTCTAAAGTGCCTGCTTAGGCAGGCTTAGGCAAGCACAGGGACGTGGTTCAATCCCCGGCACCACATGCTCTGCCAGCCCCACCCACAGGGTGGGCTGAGCCGGCCACTAACTAACTAACTAACTAACTAACTAACTAACTAACTAAAACCTGATCTGCACAAATACAGCAATCTTGGGTCAATTTCTTATTATTTCCTAATAGAGCACTGTCAGCTTTAATCTGCCTAAGAACTGGCAGATTATGATTATTTGGGAGTTTGTAGGAACACTTGAGGGAGACTACTTTCCCCAAGCCTTCTGCAGCAGGAAAATGATAAAAGGTGCAAGGACGGGGCAGCCAGAAGGTCTGAGCCCTGGCAGCACAGCTCCCGTGGACACGTCCGAGCCACAAGCTGGAGACGCAGGCGCAGCTCCTGGGTGCAAGGCTTTCTCCGCCAGGCAGGGGCACTCACCTCCCAGCCCAGGCCGCAGTCGGTTGTCATAGCCGTCCAAGAGCCCATCCAGGATCCTGGTGAATATGGTGATGTTGTCATTGGTCGCATCTTTTACAGAACTGGTTGGCACTTGTGACAAGCTTGTTGAAGGGGAGACAAGAGGAAGAGTTAAAACTTGTACTGCTTCCTACAAATCCTTCTTTGGCTAGGCAGCTGGGAAACCTACAGTGACTCGTGTTGGAGGGAGGGCAGCAGGCAAGGACCCTGGATTGCCAGGTTGCTGTTTGCCTTAGTCCTTGAACGGCCTTAGCTCTGCTCTAGGCAAAGTGTCCTGGGCAAAACCTACCTCATGGTCTCCCACTCAAAATCTGGTCACCTGAAAATTCATTACTCCCTGATTCTGAGGAGCTCCTTAATACAAATGTTTAATAGCCACAACACGTGGGTTAGCCGAGGTTAATCCACTCCCAGGAGGTTTCAGGAAAACCTAATCTCCATGTCATTAAGGACCCACCTGCAGTGGGGCTGGGGCGTGAAGGGAAAGAGGGAAAAACTTTGCCTAAGTCAGAAGCAAGGCCACGACTTTACCTAAGTTAGAAGCAAGGCCACGTGCCGAAATCGTGCCATGCCCTGAGGCGGACTAGAAGCATCTGTGCCCTGAGCGATATGCCAGGAATAGATGATTAGAAATTATTCTATCTACTACATGTCTGTGGGCTCCTGCGCCCTTCTTGGCAGCTGATAACCACATCCTGTGTGACCCACTGCACCGCAGTAAAAAGCCCTGGAAGAGCGGGCTGAAAGTCTAGGCAAGAAACCAGAGGGCTATTCTGGGCTTGCTCAATACAGTGAAGTTGTGCAGGCTACAAAAGCTTATTGTGGAGGAGCAGCTGGAAGCCAGACTTGCTCTACTTCGATGCACTCAACCAAAGTGACTAATCTTCTAGAACTAGGTGGGGCCGGCACACACTCTCTCACCATAACATCTGCACTGAGCAGATCAGAACAAACAGAAAGCTATCTGGGGGATGTCTACAAACCTAGGAGGCAGAAGCAGATCTGAAGAGCACAAGTCCTGCCTCCCGTTCTTACAGACACTCCCATTTGCAAACAACTCTTGACCCACAAATTGGGTTTGGCTTCAAGGGCTCGAGGGAGACTCACTGAGCAGAAAGCCAACTGTGGCTTCCGAGGTGGTCAGCTTTTTTGGTGCTTGCAGAGAACATGACTCCTGATGCCTTTTTGACCGGCCTGGCTGTGAGGTCAGATCTGCCTAAGCACTTTCTCTTCAACACTCTGCATGAAATTAGAGCTGAGAACTGCCATCCATCCGCCCTTCCAGGGATATGGAGGTCATAATCGATGTGTGCCTGCTCCACCCAATTCTTGAAAATTGGTCATTTTCATTGATTGCATCTAAACACATCAATTCTCTACTGGCCTTTTGAGTGAGACAGTATAAAGTTCTTTCGATCTAATTTTCAAATTGCCATTAAAATGCATACAGTGGAAACTCTAACAAGCTGAAACTCAGTAATGAATTCAGAGCCCAGAGACATATGATTTTACTCTGTGACTTAATATTTAAATATTAATTTCCTTTTTTGTTTCACACTTCAGAGAGGAAAAAGCACTAAACCTCACATAGCCTTCAAGTCATCTAGGGCCACTCAAGAGAGAACATTAAATTTGTGCTTGCTCAGCTGCCTAATGATTGGCTAAGCCAAGCCTGGCCTCATGGTCCTCTTCTCAGTGTTCATAATGGCTGCCAGTTTCATTATTCAATTTTAGGTGATACCCAGATGCCTCATTTTTGGAAGGTCCTTGCTGCCTCTTTAGCTTACATGTGGAGAGAGAGAATATGCGTGAGTGGAAGAGGCAGAGTAGTCCCTTGTCCATGGTTTCATTTTCAATGTTTTAGTTATCTGAGATCCACTGCTCTCCAAAAGTATTAAATGGAAAATTCTACAAGTAAATGGCTTAAATGGCTTAAATTCTGTGCCATTATGTGTGGTGTGGTGAAATCGTACACAGAGCCATTCTCAGGATATGAGCCACCCTTTGCCCAATGTTTCCACAGTGTGTACATTCCCTACCTATCCACGACTCGCGTGCTAGCCTTGTCCGTTAGTAGATGGGTGGACATGGATCACAGTGCTGTCTTCAAGTAACTTTACTGAATAGTTTGCCCCAAAGTGCAAGAGTAGTAATGCTGATGTTCTATTATAGTATATGCCTATAATTTTTCTGTTTTCATACTGTGGTGATAGTCTCTTGGTTCAGAGCTCTGGAGTGGAGATGACAGATGGCAGAAAAAGCCAAGCTTTGTCTGTATTGAAAGCCACTCTCATGAACGGTATCGCTGCCTGAGCTCCAGCCCCATCAGGTCAGCGGGCTGCTGGGTTCACACAGAAGCATGAATCCTGCTGTGAGCTGCACGTGAGAGCGATCAGGGCTGTGCAGTCCGTATGAGAATCTAACGCCTGGTGATCTGAGGTGGAGCTGAGGCAGTGATGCTAGCAGCGGGGGCAGCAGCAAAAGAAGAACATTGACAGAGATTTGACTGCAGTGACCATAATGAATCAATTGCTTGTAGACTCATATGAGAATTTTAGCAGTTTAGCACAAGTAAAAATTAAGCTATGCCTTGAGACAGGCTTTATACTGCAAAATGAGTAGACGTACTTGAACGATATGTCTGCACCTAATCATACACTCTCAGTCAGCATCCAGAACTTATTTTAGCCCCCCCGTAGCCTACCCATCACTTTATTTCCCACTTCAATCTATGCCTCTTCCCTCCACTGCTCCTGTCTCAGTCACAGTTTTGTAGCCCACGAGCTAACTGTAGGCAAAATGAGTGAAAAGCAAATGTTGCTGGAGAGCTTTGACATATGGAAAACTCCCAGTCATGAAACGCAGAAGACTCTAAGACTGCCAATGAAAAGAAAGATGCATTTAAAAGAATATACCAAGAGTTTTATGTAAATGGTGGGTTCATAACAAGTGATTCACATTCCCTAAGCTGCCTGAGTGTACGATGTAGCCGCCAGTTACCCAGTGAAGCCACAAAACTTTCAAACTACTTTGCCATGCGAAGATCAAAAAGCCTGCATTAAAAACCAGGCCTTTGGAGTTCTTCAGAGGGAGAGCAAGAAGTGAGAAACAGAAGTCATCATGAAAGGCTGGAGCTTCACCAAGTGCGCCTGCAACAACTGCATCGTGCTAGTGGTAGCTGGTAATGGGATTATTGAAGCTAAGAAGCCCTTTGGTGTTGGCAGAGATGGGCCTGCCTGCTGCCAAGGATACCTGCCTTGGACTTTGAGGAGAGGCTGCAGTTCAAGTGGTGGCACACAGTCCTCTTCCGGCTATCAGCAAGAGTGAACAAACTGCTAAAATAGCAGAAGAGTTCGAGGCACACTTGTCAGAGAGGATTAGTGAGTAATTGTGAGATGCAATTCAGGCTGAGCTCACCAGTGTTGCCAGAAGGGCAATAACGCTTATTTTTGGGCGATGTCTTTTTCAGGAGGGCATGCGTTAGGACATGTTATCTGCACTTCTGTTGTCAATAACACCACAGCTACAGAAGTACTGAAGTCATTGAATGATCCCATATTGGGAAAATGGAACTGGTTGTTTTGTATTGCTATCTTCCTGGAAAGTGAGGCTGTGGGGGATAGCCAGCCTTGTGGATTCACCACTCAGGCCAAGGAGGCCATTGTGAAGGCGAGTCTATGATGGCATCACCCACAGAGAAAATTCTGTCTCAGCAAGAACCGTCACCTAACTTGGCAGTGCTTTGCAGGATGCGATTTATCAGTCACACTGAATATCTGTTCTTAGCTCACGCCTGCTTGTGCAGCTCTGTGACGAGATGGGTGCAGGGTGACATGTACCTCCCTCACACATGGAAGTGAGATGGGTTTCTGAAGGTGGGTCATGGCCGAGCTTCTGAGTCAGAAGAGATTCTCCAGGGGCCAGCGAGATAGCTCAGCAGACTAAAGCACCTGCTTCGGCAGGCACAGGGGCCAGGGTTTGATCCCCAGGGTGTGCTGAGACAGCAACTGAGACTGGACACGGTGGCGCACGCCTGTGATCGCAGCACTTGGGAGGCTGAAAACAGGAGGATCACTAAGAGTCCAATCTGTGTAGTGAGACTCTGTAGACCCTGCACTAAATACATTTTTAAAAAAGAGACTCTCAATGGATACATTTAGAAACACTGTTTCTACTGCCAGCACACTTCAGTGACACAGAATGGGTCCAGACCTTACTTAGTGAACTCAATCTGCCATCTCAGAGGAGAATAACGACTGCGAACAAGTTGGCAGTTAAAGTGGCTGCATTCAGTGCCAAACTGGAATGATGGGGTCATAAGTGAACACTAGTATTTCTACACATTTCAAATATTAGCATATTTTTTAAAAGCCTGGTTTCTTGTAGCTGGTGCATGATCACCTGCATCAGCTTTCCACAGAATCTGAGCATTACTCTCCAAATACAAAAACCCATGAACTTGGAAGGACTGGATCTGCAATGAAATTCCTCTTATATATCAGGAGAAATAAACTTTGTACAAAAAGAGGATCAACCACTTGAGTTTGCAAGCAATAGTGGTGTGAAAAGTACGTTTGAGGTAACGTCCAGCATCCATATATTCTGGATTAAAATCAAGGTGAATATGGCCACAAAGGCCTGCTTTCATTTCCAACTTCATATCTTGGTAAGCGAGGCTTTGTGCAGTGACAGAAAACTGAAGGAGGATTGTGGAGTAGGCTGGACATAAGGAACACACTTCTAGAGTCACTGTCCCTCCTCTCCCCCAGATGGGACCACCTGAGCGCCAGGCTTCTCCTGACTCTGCGTTACAGTGAGGTGCACTTCATTACATACGCAAATGTAGTAATAAGAGCACCAAAGTGGACAACGGGTGGAATGTGCTGGGTCACTCTCCCAGAGTGGACAATGGGTGGAATGTGCTGGGTCACTCTCCCGCTGGCTCTGTGACGCATGGAAAACTGTCTTCCAGGAAATACTCTGGAACTACTATCTTGGTGTATCTAGTTTATAAATTAACCTTTATCATAGGAAGTACATATCAGGGAAGACGCTGTACGCAAGGGATTTGATATTATCTGTC